AAAAATCATCAATATCTTATACACAATTGAACGTCTAAAAAAAGTATTTTCATTTTAATTACTAAAAGAAATTACCTCATGTTATTAATAATGATAAACATGTTTCTCAAGCTTAGTTTGATAAAAAAATTTCTAGTTTGGACTGAAAAAAATCAAGCTCATTATTACATTTATTTTGCTTCTTCTTTTTTTCTATTTTCTTTTTACTTTTTGCTTTTCTCCTAAATAAGCTAAACCGAAACATTTTTTTTTATTTATTTTAATCTCAATAAATGAGTAAGATGATTTCAGCTGGAAATCATGGGATTAACGGCTTAGAGCAATGCTAGGGGCACTCGCTCTTCACACTCTCCGGTGAACACTTGCTCTTTTATTGGGCCACGTTATCTTGGTTCCCGAGAAGTTGGGCTAAAGCTTTTCAAGAAGCTTACGTGGCCCAATGAAAGGGGAAGTGTTGGCTGGAGAGTGCGAAAAGCGAGTGCCCCTAGCATTGCTCTAACTGCTTAACCAGAACAGTGGCAATTTCGTAATTAACCAAAATCCCCAATAGATCCTCCCCGGAAAACTGCCCATCTTCTTCTTCGTTCACTACGCCACCCTCACTCTACACTCTTCCAAACTCTTTCTCAGACTTAGCCATGGCGGATTCAAAGTCTCCGTCAGCAGCAGCGAAGCATCATTCACCGATAAAAGCAGAGGCCAAGGCAATCTCTTCGCTGTTCACCACAAGGGGAACGATGGTGTTTGCTTATGGCGTCACATTTGCTTTTGTTGCTTGTACGGCTTTCTTGGTGCTAAACCCATCTTCCAATTCCTCTCCTTGGATAAAAAGTTTCCTCAAGTCGTCGTCTTCCAGCTCCCGGTTTTCCTCTCTTTTCTCTTCTTTTGTTTCTAATTTTTCCCAAACCGATGGCAACCCACTTCCTTTCACTTACCCACCGGCCGCCCCGTTTCGGGTTTCTTGGGAAAGCAGTGGATTTGGTGACAAAAATGGGTCTTTGTCCGATGATGGAGAAAGTCGAGTGTCGGAGGATATTCGGGCATTCAATCAAGCGGGTACTTTACTCTTCACTCCGACTGTTTCTTTCTCTCAAGAATCTAATGGCACATCAAAAGGTTTAGTTATTCAAATTTCCAGTAGCCCATCAAAGAATGAGAGTTGGGATGCTAATGTAACAAGAGATCCAGGTGGTTCTCAGTCTTTCTCGGATAATGCTGGTGATTACCGATTTGCTTTAAAAGGAGAAGATGGAAAGGAATCAAAGGATGTTTTGGATTTGGAAATGAATGTGACAGGGGAAGGGGTTTTAGGTAAGGGGCGAGAGTCTAGCAATGTGACACTGGAATCAAATGAAATGGATGGATTTGGAAGTGTTGATGACATTTTTAGTAAGCATAGAAATGGAGATCTTAAGGATATAGACTTAATGAACCATTGTAACATATTTGATGGGAAGTGGGTGAGAGATGATTCTTGTCCAATTTATGCACCAGGGTCTTGTCCCCATATTGATGAGCCTTTCAATTGTTATCTTAATGGTAGACCTGACCGAGGCTATGAGAAGTATAGATGGCAACCCAAAGATTGCAATATACCAAGGTAACTTGCTCAGTTTGTTGATTAATACATACATACATACATACATACATATATATATATATATATGCAAATAAATTATGCCAATCTATTTAATCACAAACTTCTACTGCTACTGAGGTAGTAGACTTTGTTTGGGGTTTAGGTTTATGCTTGTGTTGACTATTATAGGAGTAATTATTTTGTTGCTAATCAGTTTTGCGAGCAAAAATAAAATGCTTGCCACGCACACCAATGGACTAGTTTGAAAATTTGTTTACAAGCACATTGTATGCAGAAACTTCGATGGTTGTTTACTCTATCTCCATGTTGATTTTCTTTTTGGTCAAAATTTCACATTCTGGACTTTTTTTTGAATGAGATTGTCACCCCTGATTGTTATGTGTGCTTTATGTAGACTCTGGTTAGGCTATTAGTGTAACTGGCTCATATGGACCCATGCAGGTTGAATGGTAGGCATATGCTGGAATTGTTGAGAGGAAAGCGTGTAGTTTTTGTTGGTGATTCTCTAAACAGAAATATGTGGGAGTCTCTTGTGTGCATCCTTCATAGCTCAGTGGGAGACAAAAGTAGAGTTTTTGAAGCCTCTGGCAGAAATGAGTTTCGAACAGATGGCTCTTATTCTTTCAAGTTTGAAGTATATGTTCCAAATTCTTCTCATTGATTTGGATTTCATAGTCTTGATATAATCTTCTTTTCCTTGCCAAGGAAAACTCTTTCCATATTTCACCTTGTTTTGCTTATTGTTTGTTAATAATGGATGGATGGATTAACAGGATTACAACTGTTCAGTGGAGTACTTTCGATCACCATTTCTAGTTCAAGAAGGTGACATGTCTGGAAAAAATGGATTGATGAAGGAAACTCTTCACCTTGATATGATTGAGAAATCATCTGATAAGTACAAAAGTGCTGATATTCTCATCTTCAACACAGGGCACTGGTGGACTCATGAGAAAACTTC